GGAATGTGGAGATAAGCATTGGCAATGTTCATCTTCATCATCCATAAGCCTGGAGAAAATGCCCACTGTAGAATAAGAAAAGACTCCATGGTAAAACAGGGTAGTTGAATGAAGCGATTGAGGCAGGATAAATCAATGACAGGTCTCCAGTTCCTGGTTTTCTTAGGAACAACAAAGAGTCTGGAATAGAAACCTGTGGAAGGATGTAGAACAAGTTTGATGGCCTGCTGAAATAGTAGTTCCTGAACCACCCCTGACAGACTAGCTGGTCATGGGATCCTGAGACAAAGGGAATGAAATGGGTATAGAAGACATGGGAGGGGGACAAAAACAGAATCACGAATCCTTCCAATAAAACTTGAATAACCAACTGATCCTTAACAAATTGATACCAGTGAGGAAGAACATCTATAAACCGTACTGATACTGTTGGTGACGTGATGTGTGTCGTCAAAGAAAACGACGAGATGAGGCATCCTGAAAGGAAGGGACAAATAAGGGTTAGGAAGGGGAGGGATGGGAAATGGGAAAAGGTGCCATATTGGGCCTGAACTGAGATAAACAGGTAACACAGTTGGCAAGGGAAGACTGTTGTTGTACTGATGTAACTCATGATTCAAAAGGCTCAGGGATCGTGTCAAAGACATATTGCTACAGAAATGGGGCCATATGTAAATCCTGAAGATAAAATGATGGTAAACAGATGTGAGTTAAGGTTGCATCACGACCTAGAAGGTCCCAACAACAGAGAAACCATGTATGTAAAGCAAGAGCCGAAGACGACAAATGTGCCAACGTGGAGGAAAGAAGGTGAGGATGTCCCCAGTAAACCCATCCAGATTTCAATGGAGAGCCTCAGAGAGGAAATGGATGGTACAGAGATACCATAAAAAGTTGTGAGGGTAAGACGGAGGTGAGAAAATTGGGCATGTGTTCAGACTTACAGGAGATTTGGGAGCCACACTCAAAACAGGTAAAATGGGACCTAACAATTGTTGGTCCAGAAAAGGACAGTCTGCCCTATGATATACAAGAGCAAATTGATCTGAAGCCTGGTGGGGGGTGAGGCATGCTAATCCCATCATTTAATTTAGAGGTAAATTGTTCAGCATGTACCCAAATTACCAGGAAAATGGGGGGGGGGGGGCAAATAGGGATAGGAAGATTGTTTATGGAGTAAAGAAGGACGTGGTTCATTGGAAATAGGGGAAAGGGATAAAATATCACATACCTGAGAAATTAAATCCAAAAAGACCATATTAGGCCTAACTGACTCCTCAGGCAGAACATGGGAAGGCATGACAAAGCCAGGAGGTGGAAAAGGGCGATCCAAGTCCTCCCTCACCTGAACAGGCTCTGCTTGTTCAGGAGGAAGTGGGGCTAGTTCTGGAGACAGAGGTTCACCCCTGTAACATTCAATCTTCCAGCAAATAAATGCTGATAAATCCCCTGTCGGGTCACTAGCACCTGAGGCCTGAGACATAGTGCTAGTTACAGGTGTGACCCCGAAATTGTAACATGAACTTTTAAATTCATAATGAGGCAGAATCAACTGAAAGTGAAAGTAGAAATAACAAGGCAACTATGATAAACTGGGAATAAAGTGAAGTAAAGTCTTAATAAAACTAGAACTGCAAATAAATGAAGACCACTTTGCGAGTATACTAAAGATGAACCTGAAACTTTAACAAACAAAAAGAACACATCGAAGCACAAGCACTGTGAAACGAGAAGTGATAGTTCAGTAAAGGCATATAGAGGGACCCACATGCATCACATATGTCATGCTCCTATTGGTGGAGAAGTAACACATGATGATTTACATGAGACATGTTGGAATAATTGGATTCCAATAGGTGGGAGCAGAAGGCTTGTTTGTGGCATGTGTAAAGAAAAAATCTGGATATAGAGGGCAGCACTGGACGAGAATAGCTAATCTTGTGAGTGGAGGGAAGTACTGTTTCGGGAGGGTAGTTTAAGTTTATTACAGTAGATAGGTGTGCCATTGCCATATTACATATCCATAATTTAGATATTATCCTAATCAATGAGCATTGATATGAAAACAAGACTAATATATCAAGTTTCTTCAGCTTTTACATACAACTGCTTTATTATAAATCATAGAATTTTGTAGGTGTGTTTAGCAAAATGGTAATCTTTATAGGTAAGCTTATACATGACTGCATACTAGCTTCTTCTTTCCTAGAACATTTAGATTTACAATTTAACTGAAGTTATTTATAAAACACAGGAACTTGTTCAGACATACCTGTAATATGATCAAAACAAAATTACTTATACATATATATATGAATGGTGTCCTGGTAAATATAGATAATAATAAAATTTCATCAACAAAGTCCTGTTTTGCTCAAGATGTTTTGAAACTAAAGAATAACATCACATAATGAAATTTAAAGGTTGTGTATAGCTAGAAATGGGATTTAAATTTGCATGTTTTTGATTAATTGATTTTTTGTTTTTTCACAAAAATTTAGGAATATTTAATAGGACATCAATAAACTTGAAACAGTTACTGAAATATAAAAATTCCTATAGAGGTTCTTGAGAAACATTAAAACTTTGCTTGAGACTTGTAAAAAGCTCACCAACAAAT